GATGTTTTTCCTGTATACTTCTCTGAATTTTTAAAGATATGCTTGTATTTAAATTTATACATTATATAATTGTGTTATATGTAATTTATATTATATAATACACATAAAGTATAAATATATAAATATATATTTAAATAAAGAAAATAACAAAACAACTGTTTTATTAGGGAGACATTTATTTGCTAAGTACCTGCTATAAAAGTAGTTTCCTATTATCTGCAGTTTCTCTTTCCATGGTTTCAGTTACTCATGGTCAACTGTGGTCAGAAACTATTAAATGGAAAATTCTAGAAATAAACCATGAGCTCTAAATTGTGCGCCGTTCTGAGTAACGTGATGAAATGTTGCAATGTCCTGCTCTGTCTTGCCCCAGATGGAAATCATTCCTTTGTTTAGCATAGCCAAGCTGTATATGCTACCTCCCAAGTCTCTCATCTCATAATTTGAGCATGAGCACGTGTCTTTCTAACCATAGAGCCAACAGCACTTTACATGCTTTTTCCCCACATACCACATACTTTCCTTTATTTAAAATAAAGTGTTCTGTCTTGGAAGGAGCTCTATATATGTCATAGAATTTTACTCTTTAGAGCTTAGGGAAGAACTCTGTCTGAGGTATCTGTTGTACAGCATATCTTTAGGAATCCATAATTCTATAAAGGTTTTCACCTCCAAAATTAAATTTGAATGAGTAAGTTGTGAGAGCTTCTGAGGGGCTGCGTAGCCATGATTATTAATATTTTATGTAGTGTGTGTTTCTTTTCTGCTTTTTAAGGATATGATAATCACAGTATTTACCTCTGAGTTCTATTTCTGCATAATTACGATAAATTGATTTATTTTTGAAATTTATTTGCTCAAAAGTGGAATTTAACAATTCCATTGCATTCATATTAAACGTTTTAATCCTTTATCTTTAGGTTATCTTCATTGTAACGAATACGATAGTCTGAGATTGAAGTGGCTGAGGCAGACGTTAGAATCTTTCATCCCACAGCCTTTCGTAAATGTAATTAAAGTGTCTGAATTGGATGGCAGAGAAATGGGAGATGTCCAGCCTGAAACATTTGACAAGGTACTTTTATTACATTGTGACCAATTGATGGACTCCCCGGGATGCCACTGTTATGTGGCTTTGTTGTTGTTTTCTATTTGCTTCCAGACAGAGCCTGATACAATTTCGCAGTGCCCTGGGAAATTTTGATAAAGTGAACATGGAAGCAGTTTTCATTTGATGGTCAGCATGGTTCATAGGAAGCGGTAACATTGGGATTGGAGATTATAGAATGTTTTTTATTTCTGTGTGCCTCAAAGATACTTAGGAGAAGATCAGATATTATTTGGGTCAGTACACAAAGATGTGCACTGTATTGCTTTAATATCAGAGTCTGGCAGTTGAAGAAAAGGAGAGCATTTCAGTAAACTGAAATTGAAATGTTTGTTCCTAAAAATAAATGCTGAGAATTCAGAAATACAGTAATGGCTGTTTAAAATGAGTCACTTTTATAAAAGTTTTTGTGTAGTTGTCAAGAATATGAACTGTCAGTAGGCATTAATAAACTTTTAGTCCTCTCATTCCCCTCCTCCCCCCAAAAAACAAACACTCAAAGTGCACAGGAAATTTTTCTGAAATGTATTAGTGAAGAAATGTCATAAAGAAGAACTTACTACTTTTGGTTTTAAAAGAAATGTATTTAGTTGCTATTTTTGGTCATCTCTTACATAGCTTCCCATATACTTTGTGTCTGAGGATATATTTGTAGCGCATGTTTGCATTATGTGTCTTTTTTTTCTCTAGGTATTAGTCGATGCTCCATGTTCAAATGATCGAAGCTGGTTGTTCTCTTCTGATTCTCAGAAGGCGGCCTGTAGGATAAGCCAAAGGAAGAATTTGCCTGTACTACAGATAGAACTTTTAAGGTGAGGGCTATTAATACAAATGTTTATTTTGATTTCTAATGTAATTTGAATAGCCGTGACAAAACATGACACAGGGAGGCCCCCCCAGTGGGTTTCCTTTGTAGGTGTCAGTAATTAGTCCTTTGAAGTCTGAATCCAGAAAATTCTTACCCTCTTCTTTTCAGCTCTCATACTGTAATGTCCCCTCTGTCCCTGTCCCTGTCAACGAAATACAGTATTGCTGTGCATTTTCTTATAAAGGGCTCATATGAGTTTACTGTGATTTAAAATTGTTTGCTTATGAGGACCATTCCAAGCTTAGGGTTCATCACCCTATTATTTCACCAGGATTTGAGAGACCTCCAAGAGTAGCTTTGGACCAGGATGCATTTTTTTTTTTTGTAATGGACACATTGTTCTGGATGAGTCAGCGTCCTAGGAAGTGGTAGTTCATTGTTAGCACTTCACTTATCTCCCCTCTAAGAATTTTTCAGAAGAGCATGACCACCAAGAGATACTTGGTTTCCTCCATAACAGAGGCATTTTGGGACATCCTGTCCTGGTTTCAAAAAATATTTCTATTTATACCTCACCCCCAAGTAATACCTTTTGTTTTAATGCTAAACACAAATTCTCTGGAATATTTAAAATACAGTTAAATGATGCCTTATAACTCATTACTTCTTACATGTGGCATGAGAATGAGTGACAGTTCTATGCATTGCTGACGATGTGCTTTATTTCCTACTTCTGACTGGTGCACAACAATGAGCACAGGCCATTACCTAAGCGTTACAACCAATACTATTATATTATATAGTCTTGTCCTTATACCAGAAGAGGACTCAACTCATTATGGTGATTCTTGGTGGTACTTACTGGAGGGTTCTTCTAAACATTTCTCATTAGGCAGTTAGACTATTTGTTTTATGCTACCAGTATCAGCCTTTCATATACAATAACCCTAAGATATTTTGAGAATTCTGTATCACTTTTCCCTTCTACCTCTTTGGTTATTAGCTTTGGGATGTATAGCTCCTGCTTTATGTCTTCTTTCTCACCTAAACTTTCTTAACTTGGCTTCTTAATTATTCCTGCTACTCTGGTCTTGATATTGGTAGACCTTACACCTTGTAACAGACACTAAATTTTATGATGGCTTATTAGCATTATGACCTATAATTTTTTTTAAGCTGTAAGCACCAGTCTTCCTAAGAATACGTATTATTTTGTTCTCTCTCTCATGAGAAATCCTCCCTTCTTTTTCTTCCTGTTAATTACCAAGCTTTCTGTGTTTTATATACCGCTTTCCTTCCACTTTGTCTCAATTCATTGTAATATATTCAAATAATACAAATGAAGCAAAAGACCCCCTTGGCTAAAGACCCAGCCAAATACCAGCTTTGTTCACAGGGTCAACTGTTGGACTTAAGTTTGGTGTATACTTTTCCAAACTTTTAAAATAGGTTTTCTTACAACTATATGAGTATATACATATATAGAGAGGGCAATACATTAAAAAATAACTGCTGTTATTATGTAATTATTGTTTTGAAACTAACTCTTTTTTTGTATTTAATATTTCTTAATCTTTTCCCATATAGATCTATTTTGTTCTCTTAAAATTCTGTGAAATATTCAATAGAGTTAGTCTATCATATTCTATTTAATTCTTTATTTTTGGACAATTACATTCTTTTTTTTTTACTTTTACAAACTGTTCTTTAATTTGCCTCACTGGACACATATGCTAAAATTTTTCTTGACTAAATATCAAGAAGTGGAATTGAAAATCAAACATTTTGGTAAACACAGAGGGTGCCAAAAAAATGTATACACATTTTAAGAAAGGAAACAAACTGTATTTAAATTGTAATACTTAATATAAACCAATAACAAAAGATGAATATAAGTCACGTGCATACATTTTTTTGGCACCCCTGTATGTTAACTTGTTCCCTGAAGCGGCTGTACTAGAGCTACACTTTCTGTTGCAGTTGACTGCTGACTGCTTGTTCCCTCTTAAAATATCCTCTTCCCTTGATTTTTGTGATCATATGTATATATACTTTCCTGGTTTTCTTTCTACTAATTATTCTAATTTGCTCTTAGCTCATATCATAAATTGGGATTTCCTTAGGCTACTGACATTAGCTCTCTTCCCTATTTATTTGATGGCTTCAACTGATATAAGATGCCATCTACTAATTTGGGTCTAAACCCACATCTTTCTCCTTTGTCTCAGACCTATATATTCAGTTACATATCAGAGATCTCCATTTGGAAGCCCCTCAGACACATAAAACTCAGTTTGTCATAAACTCATCATTTCTAATGCTTTTCTGCGACCACCCAACCAAAATCAACAAAACAAAAAAAACAAATAGAAGTCCCAGCAACCTGCCTCTTTTCCTCCCTCTTGTATCTCAGTAATTGCCATACATACCACCATGTATTTGCCTAAGTCAGAGATTCATCTCCAACTCCGCTTTCTCATATCTACTCTTATCACTAAGACATTTCAGTTGTACCTGTTACATATTTGTCAAGTCCATCCAGTTCTCGCCATCCTTAATAGCCTAATCCAAGCCACCAGTGTCAGTTACTTAAATCATTGCAACTGGCTTCTAACTGCCCTGCATGTCTCCAGGTGTGAGCTCTGCTACCTCACTTTCTATAGTAAAGCCAAACCTGATCTGAAATGTACATCTGTTCTTGTCATTTTCCCTTTTTGACATCCTGCAGTGGTTCCCCATTACTATTAAATGTCAAATTCTTAGTATGATATTCAAGTCCTCTTTGGGTATGGTTCCTTCTTGCTTCACTAGCCTCATCTTCTCAGGATCCTTCTTGCCTTGTGTTCCATCTGAGCAGCTTCTCAGACTCCTTACAGTGTCTCATTTCTTTTTTTTTTTTTTGGTGTGTGTGTGTGTGTGTGTGATGGGGACTTTAAGATCTACTGTCTTAGCAACTTTCAACAATGCAATAAAGTATTATTGCATGTAGTANTATGAATCCCCAAATATATTCACCTAAATATCCCAAAAGAGTAAAAGTGAAACGGACATTTTTTGAGACAGAGAGAGTATAAAAGCTCATCACCAACAATCCTTCAGGGCAAAGGAAGGCATTCTAGTTGGAAGATAGAAGATACAAAAAGAAATGAAGAGCAAAGAAAGTGGGAAATATATGGAAAAATCTAATAGTCATTGACTATAGAAGACAATGATAATGTTTTGTGCACTTAAAAAATGTAAGTCCAAATGTATAATAAAAATAGCATCTAATTTGGGAAGGAGTCTTATAAGATTCTTGAGTCTTTTAGGAAAAATGGTGAAGATGTACTTAATTTCAATTTTCTTTTACATATCCGTGTTAAAACCTTTAGGGTTACTACTAAAGGAATAGAAATAGAATGTAAAATATTTAAACCAAAAAAGGGAAAAATGCAATGAAAGGTAATTAAGACATTTTTTTTTTTTCTCTTTGAGGCCCTTAGTATCTGGTAAGCAGTGGTGGAGACAAGGGGTGACTTTGGGTGGCTCCCTTGGCCCCAGCTTATGAACCAACACAGATGTGTTTAGTTTCACCTTTCCTCCCACCCCTCACCTCAAGGCCTGAGCTGCTTTGCATTGTTTCCAGACTGGAGAAACCCTGGCAAAGGCTCATGTCATTCCCGCAGGCGTCTACTGCTAATGCTCCCTACCAATGAATGCCACAGATTGAGGAGCCTGCAGATGGGTGCCAGCTGACAAGCAGAGATTACCACACCCGAGTGCTTGGGACGCCCTGACTCCTTAGCGCTTGCCTGGAGGGGCCAGGTAACACCAACCCAGAGCGGGTGGCAGTTACCAGCTCTTGGAATGGACTTTAACCAGTGAGAGGCAGGAGACAGCGAGAAGCCCCCGGATTGTTTGTTCTTTCTCCCTATTCCACCAAACCTCGCAGTTTCTTCCAAGGCTCAGTAATGTCAGACTATGGACATATCCTGACAGACTGAGCAAAGCTGTAGTGAGCTTGATTACAAACCCTCTTACATTTATACTCCCTCCTTAAATGATTTACTTTTTTTTTTTTCCCCCACGTGCTTTTACTTCCCTGGCATTGTACCCCCGCCATAACATAAACTTTTTTCTTAGACTGTTTTCTAGTGATTTCAGGCTAAGACAGAAACTTTTAGATACCTATTCATAAGCTGCATTAGCGAATCCTCCAAAAACCACCCAAAATAAAGATGTAACTACCGGTAAATAGTGGAAAATGTACTACCTGTGCAAATGCAACTTTAAGGCGACTTTCTATTCCTTCCCCCGTTTCTAACAAATTGATGCCATCTCCTGAGCTTTTCCCATATAGAAATCTGGATCCCTGCTAATGAAAAGGGTAAGTAGTACACATAAATACACTCATATGAGATAAAATGCAGCAAGTTCTATGGGAGAGCTACAAAGTATGTTTTAGAAATGCACTAGTCAGTCCGGTTTGGTGGAGCATGGAGTATGCTGGTGAAATAGTGGGAGGCTAAAATTGAAAGTCCACGTGGAATAAACATTTGTTGAATGAATAAACAAGTGACCTTAAAAAAAAAAAAAAGAAAGGTTGTCTTGAGATCTTAGTATTATAGACCTTTAATTAAAGACTAAGTGTCTGAACTTTATTTAGTGGATCATGGGAAGTTATTAAAAGTTTTTGACAGTGGAGTAACAATCAGAAAAAACGTGTATAGATATACATATACATATACATAGGTATGTAGATGTATACACACATATAGTTGTATATACATATATGTATTTGAACAAAGGGTTTACAAACAATCTTTCGCCCTCTACATTAGAATTTCACTTTCAGTTTACCTGGTGGCCTGACAGAGATTATCACTATTTCTAGGCAACATTGCTTGTGATAAAAATGGCCCTGACTGGTACAATGTGTATACACTGGGAGAAAGAATAGATGAACATTAGT